AGTAAGAAGAAAAAGATAATTTCATACTACCCCAGTCTTGGCATGTAGCTATGCCTTGGGATCACTTGGTCTCTGAGCCTTTTCCCTGGATTCCACAACAGAATTACCCAGTGAGCATCTCTGTGACCTTGGGCAAGTTACTTGACATCTTTGTAAAATATCAGGGTGATGACAGAGTATCTACCTTCTACTATTACTGTGATGAGTTAGCACAGTCCTTGCTGCAATAGTAAATGTGCCAAAATAGGTGTTATTCAGTCGAGCTGTTAAACATGTTCCAATCAATTATATTCAACTGAACAAATTTTCTTCCTTCACTCTTTCCTTCCTTATTTTTCTTTCTTTTCTTTTTTTTTTTTTTTTCTTTTGAGATGGAGTCTTTCTCTATCACCCAACCTGGAGTGCAATGGCGCGATCCTGGCTCACTACAACCTCCACCTCCCAGGTTCAAGCAATTGTCCTGCTTCAGCCTCCCAAGTAGCTGGGATTACAGGCACTGACCACCACGCCCAGATAATTTTTTTTTTTTTTTTTTGTAGAGATAGGGTTTTTACCATGTTGGTCAGGCTGGTTTCGAACTGCCGACCACAAGTGATCCACTTGTCTCAGCCTCCCAAAGTGCTAGGATTACAGGCATGAGCCACCACACCTGGCCTCTTTCTTTTTTATTTATTTATTTTTTAGAGATAGGGTGTTGCTATGTTGCCCAGGCTGGTCTTGAACTCCTGGGCTCAATCAATCCTCCTACCTTGGCATCCCAAAGTGCTGGGATTAGAGGAGAGAGCCACCATGCCCAGCCAGAACAATTATATTTGAGCATAAATGGGGGTCACTATGGGCTTGGGGATGGGAAGCTTTCAAAGTCCCTATCCTTAAGAAACTCACATCCGACTGCAGAGATTCTTAATCCTAAATGTACATCAGAATTCCCTGAAGAGGCTGATGTGGTGGCTCATGCCGGTAATCCTAGCACTTTGGGAGGCCAAGGCAGGTAAATCACTTGAGGCCAGGAGTTTGAGACTAGCCCAGGAAACATGATGAAACCCCATTTCTACAAAAAATATAAAAATTAGTTTGGTGTGGTGGTACACACCTGTATTCCTGCTCCTCAGGAGGATGAGGATGACAATTGCTTGAACCTGGGAGGCAGAAGTGGCAGTGAGCTGAGATTACGCTACTGCACTGTAGCCTGGACAGCTGAAAAAAAAAAAATTCCCCTGAAGAACTTTTATAAGTATACCAATGTGGCCGGGCATGGTGGTTCACACCTGTAATCCTAGCACTTTGGGAGACCGAGCCAGGTGGATCACCAGGTTAGGAGTTGGAGACCAACCTGATCAATATGGTGAAACCCCGTCTCTACTAAAAGTACAAAATTAGCTGGGCATGGTGGCACACACGTGTAGTCCCAGCTACTCAGGAGGCAGAAGCAGAAGAATCACCTGAACCCAGGAGAGACAGACTGCAGTGAGCCGAGATCACACCACTGCACTCCAGCCTGGGAAACAGAGCGAGACTCTGTCTCAAAAAAAAAAAAAAAAAAAAAAAAAAAAAAAAAAAACAATGCCAGGCCCTACCTGCAGAGATTTCAATTAAGTTGGTCTGAAGTGGGTTTTGGGCATTAGTATTTTTCAAAGCTCCCCAGGTGATTCTAACACTCACTGAGGATAGCTGATCCAGGAATTTGCCTTGTGATTTGGGTGCATGGTCACTCCCTGTGTGGTCTGTTGGACCCTGACAAGACCAGGAAGTACTGGGATGAAGGGAGGTACATCTGTGCATCAATGCCCACAAGCTACAAAATGACCAATTCCTCAGAAGCTGGTGACCAAATCAGAGAGGGAGAGCACCTGAAATCTGCAGGCTGGTTTGCTTTCAGCTTTGGTTGTAATGGAGGTGGAGGGGCCCCCATGAGGGAAAGTAAAATAACCCCTGCCCAATGGAGACAGGCGAGGTTAGAACCAGTACCAGCCACTGTTTTAGGAGCTGGAGTCCTAATGAGCAATAACATGGTCAGAAACCAGCACTTCAATTAATTTTTCCCTTTTTAAAAATTTTTTTGGTTTTTTCCTTTTTGCTGTTCTGTAATTTATCAAAGGTTTGGAACTACAATTCTTGTGTGCATCTGAGGAAATCTTGGCCTGAATTCTTTGCTGACACTCCAGTTGGGAGCATTGCAAAGAGACTGGCTCCTGCTGTAGGCCATGCACATAGTGGAACCTGGAATCACAGGGAGCTGCTGAAGCCCAGAGAGGAAGTGAGCAGGCCAGGGTGGACGCAGCTCAGTCATCTCCGCCACTTCACAGAGACAGAGGGCCTGACTCTGCCTGAGGGACCAGAGGTGTCACAGCAGTGACCTTGTCACCCATCCTTGGAAGCAGAATCTCAGTGAACGAACAACAGGTCGCACACTTGGCAAGGCTGCAATGTCGTGGCAATCATGCCTTCCAAGAGAACTAGGGATAATCTGAGGGGTTTCTTTGTGGGAGGTGTTGTTCAGGGGTTTTTTGGATGTTTGTTTTTTGTGCGGTAAAATTCGCCATTTCTAAATATACAAGGGATACTCTGTTTATACCAAAAGTACCAAGTCCCAAAAGATCCAGAAACAGATGTATTCCGACCCCTTCAACCCTTTTCTTCCACTCATTCCCTCCCTCTACCTGGTCAGACAATTGGACTCATCGTTTTTGACTCAATGATTCCTGACCTTTTCGTGGTAAGCATCTACTTTTTCATCTCCCTAGGATCTCAAGATCGCTGGGGAGACAGGAGAGGGAAAGCTGGCTGGCAGTAAAACAGGTGATATGGAGAAGGGGAGGGACAGGAATTGGTGCTGCCTTTAGAATAGAGTCCTCAAGAAAAGCCAGGACTGGGACGCGCAGTGGGAGCCACTGTGTTGTGTGTGTCGGATGCCTCCTGCCTGGGATCTGTCTTCCCAACCCACAGGAGTGGCTCTGGCTGTCCTGTTTTAGCTATTTCATCTTGCTTGTTTGGATCTTTCCGACTCACTGAGATGGATACTCAGCATCTTTCAAATACATGCCCTATTTGTTTAAGATTAGCCGGCGTCTTTTTCATAATCACTAAACCTTCACTAAAATGACTCTCCAGGATCCCAGCCTCACCAGGAATCTATGATTCAAGGAGTGGGGTCAGGGGAGAGCTTCCAGAGAAGGTATTCTAAGCGTGTTCCAAACCACTGGGTGGGAATTCCTGTTATGTAGGAAACCTGTTTTCCAAGATAGAATTGATGTGGGTTTTTTGTTTGGTTTTTTTTTTTTCTTTTCTTACCTTCTCTCTATCCCCCAACATCAGAGCACACATATCAGCTGGTTCAGGGCTCCATGTACCTTGATATTACCCATGCTGAAATTCAACATAATTTGGCATTTGGTAATCATGTGGGCTCTGTTCCTATAACTACGTAAGTAATTGCCTAGATGGCTATTTTGGTAACCAGAGAGTAAATGGCCCAGAATCCATCCTTTAATCTAGCAAGCAGAATGTTCTAAGGTAGAAGCCTGCAGAATTGGCAATTACTTAGCTGTCCTGTACCTTCTTCTGTGCTAAAGGTGCGGAGCCCTGGCCACCCCTAGGGTAAGCCGACTTGTGCTATAAAGCACAGGTGACCCTCAAACCAGACTTTCAGGAGCCAGACTACAATGAAAATTTAGCAGGTCATCCCACACTCCTTTACTGTTTAGAAAGACGCATAATTATTCTGATCCTGCTGAATGAGGACTACACAGTACAAAGCTATAGGATCCTAGTGGGAGACTTCTTAAGGCAATGCCCACAAACTCTGCTTGGGTTCCAAAGGGCCCTCTTTCACACACCTGCTCTTTCTCCACATGGATTTCCATGTACGATATGCTCTAGCTTTGGAAATGCAACAGAATGTAGTGGTTAAGAGGCTGTTCTCTGAAGCCACACTGCCCAGGTCCGTATTCTCAGCTCCACCATTCATTAACCATGTCACCTTGAGCAAGAGACCTAACCTATGCCTCAGTTTCCCTATCTGTAAGATGAAACTAATGATAGTACCTATCTCATCAGATTGTCCTGAGAATTAGATATGAACTTGTTTAACATACGTGAAGTATGTGGACAAGTCTCAGCACTCAGGCCGCATTTTATAAGGAAGAGCGATTATTATTCTGGGCCTGGGTTAGAAATGGAAAAGAAAAGAACATATGAGAAACGATGATGTCCCAAAATGTGTCTAACTACTTGCCACCAATCTGAATTCTAGAGTTGCCTTGTTACCTCATTCACCATACATTTATAAAAACTCTTTACTGAGCAGCAACCATCGTGAAGGGTCAGGTGATACAGGGACAGCAGCAAGGTGGAGGTGGGAAGGCAGGTTCTTGTTCAGTACACACACCTAGTACATGTGTTTGAAAAATTAAATGTGATTCCATTGTACGGTACTAACTGCTCCGTATAAAGCAGTGAGCAACAGGCACAGATCCCTCATCTCATAAAGGTTTCATTCTGGTAGAAGAGATGGATTTTAAACAATCAGCCCAGATCAAATATAATAATAAATTGTGTCATAATTTACGAAGGAAAAATGCAGGGTGCTAAAGGGCACATATCAGAGTGAGAAGGAGTGTTGTGTCATAGAAAGTCATGAGACTAGAAGGACAAATAGAAGTTATCCAGGCAGAGTCAGGAAGACATAGTCCAGATGTAGAAAATAACATGTGCAAGGACCCCACAGCAGGAAAGAGCTCGTGTTCAAAGAGCTGAAAGAAGGCCAGAAGGTCGATTAGATAAAGGGTGATGTTGGGGGCAGGGGAAATGATTACAAGAGGAGTCAAGAGAGCTGGAAGACACATGCACTGCCATTATTATACAGACTGAGGAAAGAACATGGTTCTTGGGTCTCTTCCAAGTCTCCCATCCTCCAAACTTTCTAGTTACTTCATATTGAAAGGATGAAACTGAAAGTCTTTTAGCAAATCAAGAAAAGGAAAAACACTTAAGCTGCTTACTTATATAAGACAGTAGCTTAAAAATATCTCTGTTCACGCAGTGGGTATTGCTTCAGAGAGTAGCTTGGTCTTTCAATGACATAATTTACTTCAGATGTAGAATCTTCCTACAACAAAAACAAATCCAGCAATTTTTATTATCCATAACATAACAGAGAGGGATGATACCCAGATGTGTAGTTTTGCATGTAAGAGGTCTGTGCATCCCATTTATGCTGTATATGGGGTTCACTATATATGTGTGTATGTGGAGTCTTTCTTTCTTCTTGCAGAAGCGAGGTCTCATTATGTTGCCAGCTGTGAATCAAATTAGCTACTACTTTTCCGTTGGATCCAAGCCCCACTGTCTCATCCTCAGGGAGCCAGATTTGACTCCCAACCAAGTCAAATACCTGCTACCATTCACTCTCAGGACAACAGGCTGGTCTCAAACCTCCTGGCCTCAAGGGATCCTCCTTCCTCAGCCTCCCAAAGTACTGGAATTACAGGTTTGAGCCCCAAACCAGGCCTTTGTTTACATTTTAAAGAGATTCCTTACTTGAAAAGATTGGGAATTAAAGCAAGGCCAATGACTTTGCAAAAAAGAAGTAAAATAATTCGCTATCCCCATGGTTAGGGTAAACAACATTTAAGTGTCATCCTGCAAATCTAGCATATGCTAGTATTTATTAAGTCCAGAAGACTCGTTCAACTACATGGCATCACTAAATTCAGCCACTGGGGGCACTGTTACCCTTTATTTAAATTGTTTTGAACTGGTGACAGGCCACTTAGCTGTGTATCTGAAGCAGTGACAGAGGACTGGGAATATCTACCAATGAATCAGAAGCACTTCCCACACCTCCATAAAAGTCGTACAGGCAAAACTACCTTATTAAATTTAGAACAAGTTTCTTCCAGGTTGTGGCCTTACAGAGCTCACACATCTAACTGTATTCATCCCTGGATTGGGAGTTATGTGTGCAGGGGAAGAGAATGCTCTGTGAGCCTGTCTTCTCTTAGTCTTTTGAAAGGACCTCTGCCTGATGACTGCTGTGAATCAAATTAGCTACTACTTCTCTGTGGGATCCAAGGCCCACTGTCTCATCCTCAGGGATCTGACTCCCAACCAAGTCAAATACCTGCTACCATTCACTCTCAGGACAACAGGTAATCTCCTCAGTAAGCCTCACAATTTTCCACTTAACTTTTGTGGTTATTTGATTAATGTCTGTCTCCCCGACCAGACTATAAGTCCCTGTTCCCATATTATTTAGTGAGCAAATATCTAGTTTTATATGAAAGTCTAACCTTGTTTTTGTGCTGCTGAGCTCTGTGGGCTGTCAGAAGACTGCATACCCTCTCATGGATATTCTTCCATGTGGACTGAGAACCAGGATGGAACCTGCACAACAGATGGAACAGGGTGGAGTAGTAAGCATCTACCAAAAAAGACACTTAAAGCATATGACAATATGGATTAATATTTAAAACTCAATCATCACAAAAAACAGCAGCATCCAAAATGGTAAACGTAGTGTGATTTCAATGTCTTTCTTAAACCTATACCCATAGGGAAAGCACTGGGGAATAAAAACTGCTCAGATATTAAGAATTTTTTGTGTTTCTATGTGTGGCTGAGTGATTCTTTTCTTCTTTATACTTTCCTGTGTTTTTCAGATATTTCTCTCATGAACAAACCCTACTTTTACATTTAAAATTTTAATCCAAAAATTTTTAATATAAAACTTAATCCCAGTTGCTGTTGTTTTAGGGACAGGGTCTTGCTCTGTCACTCAGGCTGAAGTACAGTGGCATGATCATAGCTCACTGTAGCCTTGAACTCTTGAACTCAAGCAATCCTCCAACTCCAGCCTCTCACATACAGAAGACCAACTAGGTACATGTCACCATGCCTAGCTATTTTTTTTTTCTTTAAGAGATAGGGGCTTGCTATGTTGCTCAGGCTGGTCTCAAACTCCTGGGCCAAGGGATCCTCCCACCACAACCTCCCAGACAGCTGGGACTACAGGTATGCTCCACCATGAGGAGCTAATTTTTAAACACTTTGTAGAGACAGGGTCTCCCTGTGCTGTCCAGGCTTGTCTCGAACTCCTGCACCCAAGTGATCCTCCTGCCTCAACTTCCCAAAGTGCTGGGATTACAGGTGAGAGCCACTGTGCCCAGCCCCCATCCTGGTAGGATAAAATCCTACCACCAGGATTTTATCTTATATCTCATTTTCTTTAGGCGACCCAGACTCCAAACTGAATCATAGGTTTGATAGTTTCTTTCAGTTCCCCAAACACAGAACATTTTCTACCTTCCATATGCATTTGGCAATGCTATTTGTTCCCTCTTCTACTTTCCAACCCCTCTCCTACTTTCCAACGCCTCTCGCTACTCTTATTAACTCCTACCCACCCTTCAGAGCTCAGTTCAATTGCTGAGCTCTCAGCAAATCCCTTCTGAGCCCTCTCCTGCAGAGCAGGTCAGCTTCCCTGTTATACGCACTTGTGGTTTCATTTATCTATACCACATTAATATCACTTGCACCAGTGGACATTTTGTGATTATTTGGTTAGTGGCGGTCTTTACTCCTAGAGTGAAATTGAAACTGAGAATCTTTACTTACTAACTCATCCCAGGACAGAAGAGGAACTGAACACTACAGTAAGTATTTAAGAAATATTTCTTGGGTGACTGAATTCATTCTCTCATTCATTCATTCATCCATTCATTTGTATTCAGGAGAGGGATGGTTACCAAATCCTAAAGTCTGAGGTATAACTAAACTAAAAGTGTACATAGCAATTTAATAATGAAAGGCACAGACACTGTTTTCTAAAAACACTCAAAGAATTATAGCCACTTGGGGTCAGGTGCAATGGCTCACACCTATAATCCCAGCACTTTGGGATGCTGAGGCAGGCGGATCACTTGAGGCCAGGAGTTCCATACCAGCCTGGTCCACATGGTGAAAACCCATCTCTAATAAAAATACAAAAAATTAGCCAGTATGGTGGCGTTACATCTGTAGTCCCAGACACTTGGGAGGCCGAGGCATGAGAATTGTTTGACCCCAGGAGATGGAGGTTGCAGTGAGTCAAGATGGCACCACTATACTCCAGCCTGGGCGACACAGGGAGACTCTATCTCAAAAAAGAAATGAAAAGAAAAGAAATAAAAGGAAAGAAGAAAAGATTCTCTTTAATTAATGTACAGAGAAGAAAAGATTCTCTTTAATTAATGTACACTGGAAATGACAGGAACATCTGGAAATTTAGTTGTTACTATGACTACCATACAAATGACCGCCCTGTGCAGCTGCCCCTCTGCTTGGCTGGTCCGGCCCACATCCGGGCCTCCATTCCAGCACTCTCTGCAACAAGCATGTCCCAGTGGTTTCCAGGGAAACAAGACCAAGAGTATGAATGAATCTACACAAATCCATTGCCAACCCAACAAAACTCAGAGCAAATGGAAGCACCACCTAAAGCACTGCCCATGTTTAAGACTACATACATTATTTCTACACTTCTCTAAGAATTTTTTTTTTGAGCCAGAGTCTCATTCTGTTGCCCAGGCTGGAATGCAGCGGCACAATCTCAGCTGACTGCAACCTCCACCTCCTGGGTTCAAGAAATTCTCCCGACTCAGCCTCCCGAGTAGCTGGGACTACAGGCATGCGCCACCACGTCCAGCTAATTTTTGTATTTTTAGTAGAGACAGAGTTTTGCCATGTTTGCCAGGCTGGTCTTGAATTCCTGACCTCAAGTGATCTGCCCACCTTGCTTCCTAAAGTGCAGAGACTACAGGAGTAAGCCACCATGCCCAGCTTTTCTTGAAGAATGTTTAAGAGAAAGGAATAGAAATATGTTGAAGCTATAAATAAAGCTATAATTTAAAAACAGCCACCATCAGCTGGATACAGTAAATGTTTTTTCATAGGTCTAGAGTAACCAGTACCAAAGTGACTCCTATATTTGTTACCATTATTGTTACATGTAATTTATTTTACATTTGAAGATCTTAGAGAATGATGAGTCAACAGACGGCAGCAGGGCTGTGCCTTTACTACAGCCTTCTCCACAGAATCTACCTTCTCCTCGAGCAATGTGGAGGGAGAGGATATGGTGAAGGGGCATGACACTATTCAGAAGGTAGATATAGGGAACAGGCATGGCACTGCTCCTCCCTCCTTTAGTACTACCATTGTTCACTCTGATAAAGCCTTTTCTACTTCTTCCATTCAAACTTTGGGCTGACTCTCACTCCGAAATTTGTCTCCCAATTCATCCCTACAAGCCTGGCCCTTACTGAGTTCAGCTGCAGAAACGCAACAGGTATTCTCATGCACCCTTGTGATCTGGGCACAAAGAAAGTGGTCCTGATAGTGCTGGGGTGGAAAGAACTGGGAGTGAGCGGAAGCACAGTGCTAGCAACTCCCAGTGTTCCAGGAATCTGCCCCTGTGATCATTCTAAAGCAGGCGTCCCCAAACTACAGCCCGTGGGCCACATGAGGCCCCCTGAGGCCATTTATCCGGCCCACCACTGCACTTCAGGAAGGAGCACCTCTTTCACTGGTGGTCAGTGAGAGGAGCACAGTATGTGGTGGCCCTCCAATGGTCTGAGGGACAGTGAACTGGCCCCCTGTGTAAAAAGTTTGGGGATGCCTGCTCTAAAGACAATGGGCAATGGGTTCTTCTGCAAGAATAGGAAGGGCACATCCTTCATTCAAAAGAACTGGTTTTAAAATATTATCTTCAGGGCCACTTCTCTGGTGTTAAGGTGACCAGCTGTCTTAGTTTACCTGGGACTGAGGGGTTTCCCAGGGTGCAAACTTTTGGTACTAAAACCAGGACAGCCATGGGCAAACTGGATGGCCCTTCTGTGGTTGTTATTCTTTGTCGCTGATAATCATGGCCTACTTACAAACACATAGTCCAATTAGGTCCCAAGTTAACAGTTTAGAGAGACTTTGGGCACAAAGATTTTTCTGCCTCATCAGAGACAGTCAATAAAACTCTGGTCTGCTCCTAAGACTCATCTTTCTGAAATCACTTGTGCCTACTCCTGTGACTAACATCACAGAGCGCCTCACTCCTTCCAAGCAAAGCCCAAACTCCTTAGGTCAGCCAACAAGGTCCCCCTCAGAACTTTGAGCCCTGGCACCCACTTTCTCCCAAACTCATCTCACTGCTGGAAGCTGACAGTGCCCCTGCCTCCCATCTCCCCTCACTCACCTCCATGAACCCCATCATAATCCAATCTTCTCCCCTCATGGCCACAAGAAAGCATCACCTCCTCCACAAAACACTCTGGAAGCACCACCTTCTTTATACTCCAGTAACTTTTGTTCCACAATATTCACAAAGTTCTGCCTTGCAGAAAGCTCTTTGCATGCTTTTCTATTATTATCTATTTTTTATACCTTCTGCTAGATTGCAAGTTTTCAGAGATCAGAAGAAACGTCTTAAATGTTAGTGTTCCCACTACAGGCCTCGCAGATTGAGTATCAATCCTGCTTTCCCTCTTAACCACAGATTTCATGTGCTCCCCACCCGCATGCTCAATTCCAATCCCAGTTGATTCTGACTCAGTAAACATGAGGCAATTCTTCTTTTGGCCAGAGTTGAGAATTGCTGGCCTGCTGCATAAAGACACTCAGGAAAAGCTGGCTGAATGGATGCATAAACCATCTAATATGTATTTAAAGAGAAAAGAGTCCTTCTCAGATCTCTCTCCTGATGGAATTAATTTCCTCCCACTCTTTCTTTCCCCTGCATTTGAATTGTACTTCTGTTAAGTACCTACCACAATCTATCTCATATTCAGTGACATGGCAGTATGTCTGCCTTCCTGTCTAGTGTGTGGACCAGTGGAAAGCAGAGATGTGTTGTGATGGTGTCTACTGCCCGTAACAGTTGACGAGTAACAGCGTGCTCAATACAGTCTCTCAGAAAAGCTTGCTGTACTCACTTTAAGGAGTTTGGGAGGTGTTATATACACAAGGCAGAGGGACAGAAACCATGGCTATCCCCAGTTCTGGCAGCTGAGAAGCATTTTATGTCTGTAAGAAGATGGATCTCTGATCATCACACCCATTTTATTTTATTTTATTTTATTTTAAGACAGCCTCGTTGCCCAGGCTGGAGTGCAAAGGTACGATCTCAGCTCACTGCAACCTCCCCCTCCCAGGTTCAAGCAATTCTCCTACCTCAGCCTCCCAAGTAGCTGGGATTACAGGCATGCACCATCATGCCTGGCTAATTCTGCATTTTTCATAGAGATGGGGTTTCTCCATTTTGGTCAGGCTGGTCTCAAACTTCTGATTTCAGATGATCCACCTACCTCGGCCTCCCAAAGTACTGAGATTATAGGCGTGAACCACTGCACCCAGCCCATCACAGCCATTTTAAAGATGAGGAAACTGAGATCTAAAAGGTTGAAGCTGGGCACAGTGACTCATGCCTGTACTCAGCACTTTGGGAGGCCAAGACAATTGCTTGAGTCCAGGAGTTTCAGAAGACCCTGGGCAATACAATGAGACTCCATCTCTAAAAAAATTAGCCAGGAATGGTGATGTGTACCTGTAGTCCCAGATACTCAGGAGGCTGAGGCAGGAGGATTGCTTGAGCTGGGGAGGTCAAAGTTACAGTGAGCTGTGATTGTGCCACTGCACTCCAGCCTGGGTGACAAAGCAAGACCCCACCTCAAAAATAAAAATCAATTTAAAAAAATTGAGTAGCTGTGTGAAATCACCCAGCACTTAGAGACACTTGAACACTAGAGCCCATGTCTCCTGACCACTGCCAACTGAAAGTTCTTTCCATTCTTCGTTTAAAACCAATCCTCTACAAGTATTTAAATCTAGGGTAATCTCCTGTGCTTTGATAATGTGCTGAATTCCAGGCTGGTGGCAAAAGCATAAGACAGGAGGGGACAGAAGTCAGGCACAGAAAGGGGTGTAAGTGTGCCTCTGACCACCTGTCTCTGTGTGCCAGAGCCAGTTTTTAAAAAATCTATCCCGTTGTACTCTTTTCTTCTAATAAAGTAACTAATCAAAAGCTCACCAAACATTGATTTTATTAAAATATTTGATCTAACTTCCTTAAATCCATGATTTAACATTTGAATATGGAGTTATTTTGTCATTTCTGAAAACACTAAGAAGGGATTGCCATTTTCTTAGTCTTCCTCAAAAGTTAATATAATTCCTGTAAAAATTTCAGGGCTACTGTGATTCTGGGATATATTTACTGTGAGTCTCTCTGTGAGCAATTGTGTTATTTTGGTACGCAGAGTTTGCTTCTTATTCTCGTCACTAATAATGCAGAGAAAAGCAGATTGGCATATCCTTCATTTAAAACAATGATCTTATAAATATTATTTTCATTGCCACTTCCCTGAAGTTAAAGTAACCAACTGTCCTGGTTTGCCTAAGACTCAAGGGTTTCCTAGAATGCAGGCCTTTCAGGCTAAAATTAGGTAGACCCAAGCAAACCAATGGTTCCTTGCTCTACTAGAGAGTGCAGTTTAGCAAAAAAAGATTTCTGCTCTTACTCTCTGACCTGCTCTCCAGACATATACAAATGCATTTTTATTGTTTGTGAAAATAATGTAAACAAAGAAATCATGTCTTAAAAAATATTATACACCCATATGTTAACAACATTTGTCTTTGGGCAGTAGGACTATGTGTAATTTTTTTTCACTTTTTTTTTCTGTAATTTTCAAACTTCCAGTAGTGAACATTTTTGTACTGGTAAATAAAAAGGTTTAGGTTTTAAATTTATGACAAATAAAAATGGGTATCTAATACTACCTATGTCAAAGTTAGTTGTCTATCCCATTTATAGCAAATATCCTGATATATGATTTCCAGAGGCAAGAGAAAAGGCTCCACTCTGACTTTTGGGTAGATTTTTAAAGAAACAATCTTTTTTCATATCAAGGTGTCACCAGCTGAATATTCCTAAGAAAAGAGACTGATGAAATGACCCAGTTTACCCCTGCCAAGCCACAATGTATTCTTCAGGCAAACAGTGGGTGCTTGCCACTGACCTTTCTCGGAGAAGGGGCTGATCCAGGGGGCCAGGAGAACTGGAATGCTGGGAGGTAGAAAATGAAGCTTTCCCATGGAAACTGGCATCTCCTTGTTTACTGGGTGAGGGCTTTCCAAATTTACTTGAATCTAAACGTGATGATGACTCGCTCCTTAAAACAATCCGTTCATCTGGCTCTTTGATAACCTGAGTGACAATGCACATTATTTAGTTGTAATTTTGCTTCTGTTTGCTTAATTTAGAGCTGGGGATGGGGTTGGACAAGGAAAACAACTAGTGCTAAGATGACAGAATATTGGCCCAGGGATGTCCTGCAAATAGAAGAGGGTCTGGGGCAGAGAAGAGTGGCGACAAAATGCTCAGGAGTTAAGACTAAAGAAAAATAACCAAGAGTCTGTATGTTTGGGATATATTAATAAATGAAAATAAACTCATGCTCTGAATTTTGATTTCTGAGGACTAGGGATTATTGGGACTGGGAAGAATATAATTTTAACAAAATAAGCACTATGGCTTAAGAAATACAGTATATTCCACTTTCTTTGCGTAAATCTATTCTCATGTTGTGTCATAGAAATCTGAAGCTTCACTTTGACAAAACAATCAAACTTCAAGAACAAGCGATTTGCCACCTCTATCTATAAAGGTATTTGATTAGAGAAAAAGCAATGAAAATAACTACCAATAAAGTAGGTATTGGGTATACACACACCCTCCTTGGTGATTCATCCTACTTATATAAGGGACACAAACCAACTAACCCCAAAACAAAATATAACATGGTGTCTGGACACATCTTCACGTAAACACTAAACTACAGCAATTCCACTTAAGCAGACTAACTAGAAATATCCACCACTGATTGGAATAAGCACAATAATTGATATAAGATAGCTAGAAGTAAATCATTTTACAAATTCTACTTCTAAAATTACCTTTATGTTAGCTGCAAGGCTGTCAAGAGAAGAAGCTACAAGAAAGAGGAACAGGTGTTTCAATGACTCATTAATACCATTTCACTTTAAAACTGCCATTATATTTATTCTACAACAGTACAAAAATTTTAGACAATGAATGAATTATTTAAAAACTTAAATGTTCCCTTGTAAATTACCCTATCACGTTTAAGTCTCCCTCGAGAAGTCAACAATGAGGTTTCATTTTCAATGACAGCATATATGGAAGGGGGAAGGGTAAAGCAAGTCTAAAGTGAATGTGGAAGTTCAATAACCCTTAAGCAGCCTGAAAAACTCATATTTGAGCAGGTGCCCAAAACCTGAAAGAAGGTACTGTGGTCTTATATAAAATTTATAAACTCTGCCTCCTCTGCCATTTTCTTTGGTTTCATGGAATCCCATTTATGCAGGAGCTCTTGAATATATTTGTCCAAGATGGACACAAACGTTAAATTGAGACAACAAATACGTAACAGCTTGGAGAAACACAGAACATAGCAAAAACTGAAATCATTATGATGACCCTCAATGATCATGATAGGTAAGTAGACCTAATGCTTGAGTACAGTAAGGCTGACTAGGAAATTAAGTATGAAATATATATAGGGAAAGTGAAGACTAGGTTGGAGTTTTCCAGGTTGATTAAAAAATGTTTTTAAAATGAGCCTTTGCAAGGCAATGCTAAGGTCACCATGGCTTCCCCCAGTGTGACCGGGACTCAGGCAATGACAAGGGACTTTTTCTGGACTGCTGATCCCCCTCCCCATGTCACTGGTAGATATAAAATGAGATTTTTTGAAAGTCTGACCATTTTCATATCCTTTGGGCATATTCATATGTATGTGCCACCCTGTCCCAGGAGCTCTCTTCTCTCCCACCCCCAGGTGGGCAGAGAATTAGCAATGCCAAGGCCCTTCCAGCAATAGCCACAAATCTGCCCTGTGGCCTCAAAACCTCCTTCCTACTGGTTTTGAGCCCTTCCTTTCACAGGAGGAGCTTGCCTTCATTCCCTTGCTTCTCAAAGTGCAGTCCATGGATTAGCAGCATCCATATCACCTGGAAGCTTGTTAGAAAAGGAAAATCCTAAGCTCCACACCAGCCCTACTGAATCAGAATCTGCAGTTTAACAAGAGCCCCAGGTGATTCAAATGCACATTCAAGTTTGAGAAGCACTTCTGTGTTCTACCTTAGGCCTATATGAATGACCTGACAGGGGACCTAAGCAAAGGTCTGGCTTGAAAGCTACAGGGATTCCAAGGATCTGAGCCTAGAGGATTGAATGTCTTCTCTAAATGTAGGTAGGCCAAAAACATGATGTGTGACCTTTACACACATTGTAACCTCTCTGGAACCTTAGTTTTCCACCTGCCAGGATTAAGAAAAAACAAAGGCCGAGACCAATGTGATATGTGAGTCCCATCACAATAGAGCCTGCATTAAACCCAGCTTGTCCTCCCCAGAAAAGGACATCTGCTGTTGTCTGATTTCTCTGCAGTAGGGAAAACAATGCTGCTTTATAAGCTACACAGGTGATTTTCAATTCAAAGAACTTAAATTAAATGCCATAGGTAATGAAGCACTTTCTGCTTCAAACCCTGTACTCTGTCCTTGGCCAGCTGCTGTCAAACAGCCACCACAGTCTAACAACACTAACGTAAGTCACCTTAAGAGACTTAAAAGTAGCCCCTTAAAAGTATAAACCTTTAAGTCTAAGATAAGAAACTCTATTGTCAGGGATGGCAATAGATGGAAAGTCCAGTACTACCAGCAGGCAAACGAATGGACTGCCACCATTCTTTTCCAGCCTAAGAATTTTGATTAAGTTCAGGAATGGCTGATCTTCACTGACACAACCTTCACTACTGACATGATTCATGGATTTCAGTCAAAAGCATACAAGGGATTCCTTAACCCAGTGACTCTCAATGTGTAGTCCAGGGATCTTCTCCAGGGGTTTCCAAGACCTTTCAGGAGAGCTGCAAGGTCAAACTGTTTTCATAATAATACTAAGACATGATTTGCTGCTTTCATTCTTATTCTCTCATGACTGCACAATGGAGGTTTCCAAAAGCTACAATGATGTCATGGCATCACCATTTGGATGGCTAATGGAATGTGTGCTACTCTATTCTTGTATTTTAAAAATTCATCCGTTTTAGCCAGGCACAGTGGCTCACGCCTGTAATCCCAGCACTCTGGGAGGCTGAGGCAGGCAGATCACAAGTTCAGGAGTTCAAGACCAGCCTGGTCAATATGGTGAAACCCCATCTCTACTAAAAATACAAAAAAAAAACTAGCTGGGCCTGGTGGCATGTGCCCATAGTCACAGCTATTCGGGAGGCTGAGTCAGGAGAACTGCTTGAACCCAGGAGGCGGAGGTTGCAGTGAGCAGAGATTATGCCACTGCATTCCAGCCTGGGCAATAGAGGGAGACTCTATCTCAAAAAAAAAAATTTTTTTTATCAGTTTTAATTTCTAACATGCTAAATCCACATCAGGAAAAGCTCTTTGGGCTCCTCAAGAATATTTAGGAATGCAAAAGGGTCTGAAATCTAAAGGTTTGAGAACACCCTGCCTTCATCTAACTGCTTCAGATAGAGTTGGCTTCCCATCTCCCTCACATGAAATCTTCTAAAGCAAATATTACATCGCCTGTTCACCATCAATATCCTATTTTTTCTCCATCAAGAAAAATGGAAAGCCTTATTTATTAGGCATCAATTGTGACTTTGCAAGGAGTTCACAGCAGGACAAGTACTCTGCTTTCCCAGCCCAGCCAGGGAACGACTGCAACCACAGCTCACTCAGCACGCCTCTCAGAACTGTCCCCTTCAACGGTAAGGGGAACTCAGACAGAAGCTTCTCAGCTGACTGTGCTTTGTGGGAATACTGCCCTGGAAATTCCACAGCTGGCAAGTACTTGAGAATTAGGCCCAAAGTTCCCAACTTAACCTGTGATTCCTCAGAATGAAAGAGTATACATAGGACACGTTTGTGGCAATAGGGAAACGTACAGGAGTAACAAGAAACTCAAGTACCTCTTCTCATTGGAAACGGAAAGTCTGAAAACTTAGATTTTCTTCTAGACCTCCTCAAATGATGCTCTGAAATATTCTCACCAAAGGGCTTTGCACTGTCCACCTGAAAGTAAAGGAAAGAAGTAAGACTAGAATCCACTGTAGCTTCTAGAACCCTCCCCTCATTACTGGTAATGACAGTCTCCCCCTCAATCACACAGTTGTAAAGAGAAGGCTGGAAAACCATCTACATCACAGTCTCCTGCCTAAAAGGAGAAACTGTCTTTTATTGAGGCTAGAACATTGAGGACATGGGAACTAAAGTTGGACCCACATTATATTCCAACAACTGGTAAGGATCCCACACAGGAAGAGAGCCAGTGAAGCTTTATTTCACAATCTCGTAAAATAGGAAGGCGTTTCACATTCCTTGAACACTATGAGTAGTGCTGGCCTAAGTGGGGTCCTCACTGACAGCAAGGGATTCCCACAAGATGACATTTCTACTTTCCACATTCGTTTCTGGTCTGAGTATCTACATTCTTGATAAAAGGATAATGATAACTATATTATTTTACCTATGGTGACTGACCATATTTTCCTAAAGAAAAATTGGGTAACATGATCTGCAAACAGGTCAAAATACTTGAACTAGGGACTCTTCTAAAATATCTACAATATAGAGTTGCTGAATGTTTTTTACTTTGTTTACTTCCATGTTTTTAAATTTTAATAAGGCAGGTTATAATGTTACTTTTCATTCTACTTTAATATACTGACTTGAATTTACAGTCTTTATAACATCAGGTTTTCTAAATTTTAATGCCTCTACTTAAGGAAATATCACATATTAGAAAATCTAACTAAAAATTATGTTAAATCATTGATAAAAGAGTTTGGCACATAAGAAAAGCTGTATAAGAATTTGTCAAATTAAATAAGTATCAAGCAAGTTTTAATACCCTAAGAAATCTACCAAGATTTTAAGGTTACTTAGTTCATAACGGCATGGACTAAAGTTGTATTTTACAATAATTTGCATCAAATGAAGTAAATCAGATTTATTTTCAATAAAATGAAATAAATGAACTCAATTAGATATTTTATGGTGCCATGTTTAAGGATTGGTCGTTAGATTTTTAGCCGGATGTCATTACCCAGGCCTCCAAGACAACAGCTGTTGTATATTTTTTGTAGGTAGCTGTTCGGCAGTTTCTAGCCAAACAGCTCTGTTCTACCGACAAACCAACTCTACATACAGTCATCTCAACAGCACCGTCACTTCAAGACTTACTACACTTAACAGTCTCTGTCTAATACACAAACATTTATCAGGGGTGGCTTTAAATCAAAATAGCAATGTAATGATACTATCAATAGTTAACATTCTGGAAAATAAGTCATTAATTAGAACACGAAATGGTGTTCATGTAGACTATGAAATAATAACAGAAAATTTTTAATATAATGTTAATTGGAATATATAGGAAAACTAATCTATACATACAGTAAAATTACAACTTTGTGGAAAAAATAAAGCCTATGAATGCAAAAATAAGGCAGAGAAATTGTGTCCAATTAAATCAAACAATGATTTTATTATACTGGTGAGCCAATGGATAATTTTTTTCTTGAACTTTTCTATGTTTTCCATTACTTTTATAGTAACAAAAAATGTGTAGGCTGGGTGCAGTGGCTCATGCTGTAATCCCAGAGTTTTATTGAGCTGAGATGATGTCACTGTGCTCTAGCCTGGGTGACAGAGAAAGACTCTGTCTAAAAAAAAAAAAAAAAAAAAAGTTGTAAAGAGACTAAGAGAACTAGTGTGATTAAATTTGCCCACTACTACCTGAGAGCAAAATCTAAGATGACTTTAATTAAGGGCTTTGAGTATGCCACAACATTGCTTCTTCCTGCAAACAAACTTTTCTGGCTTTTCAGAGTGTGGCCACTGAGCACCAATCTCGTTAAGAAAATTCAGGAGGCTAAGTCAGGAGAATTGCTTGAACCTGGGCAGTGGAGGATGCCATGAGCGAAGATCATGCCACTGCACTACAGCCTGGGCAACAGAGCAAGACTCTGTCTCAAAAAAAAAAAAAAGAAAGAAAGAAAGAAAGAAAACTCAGGCAGTTTTCTCTAAAACTGATGAAGTTTTAGTTTTGGATTGATACAGAGTGCATACCAACCTTTGTTATGTGTCTTCAACCTCTGTCAGTTCATTGACTTTTCAGGATAATGGCAAGTTATCATGTATAGACATTATACTTTGTTAATAATTTTCAAAAATTAAAAATAGAGATAACTGACATTTACTGAGCAAATCCCAGGTAAAGATACCTTTCTAGGGGTTTCCTGACAATGATCTAGGAAATTAACATAATTTAATCAAATTATTCAATTTGAAGTCCCTTTTTATTTAATATTACTCATTTGTTTTTATAGCTCAATCTTCCTTTATTCCCCTCTCATCCACATCCTCACTATTGCAAAATACTCTAAAAAATAATTTTAGGCTCACATGTCTAACAACGAATGGAGGCTTGCTTCCTTCAAAGATTTTGAAATTATTTCCAAGGTTCAACTGGGCTGGCTGGTCCTGGAAGAAACGCCTGGTAGAATATGGAGAGGGAGCCCAGGCTTGCATGCCTTTGGGCAGTCTATTGAGATTATTCTCCTTTGGTTTCATCTTTATAGTATTTAATATTGGTTCATGTGATGTAAATAAAGGCCTTTGTGACTTATGTCTTTCTTCCTGAAATAAACAAACAAAAAAGAATATTTTTTAAAATAAACAAAGAAAAGAAGAAAATTCTATCAGAATATAACTGTATTTAATTGAACTTTTACAAATTAAGGTAGAAGACCAGACATCTCAGATACATAAAACATAAACTTAAGGAATGACACTTCTCTAACTTTTTTCCTGTTCAGTTTAACATCAGTAGTATTTATAACTTGCTAGTATAATGTATTCAACTAATTAACAGTCAGCTTCATTTATAATAGGGGAAAGTTAGAAAGTGTCAGACACCTCCAATAGATAGATGATAAAGAATTTGACACACACTGGGGTCCAGTAATTTCACTTCCAGGAATGTATTATAAGGAAATAACTATGGCTATATGTATATCTACAAAACTGCTTATGATAGTTTAAAAGTTAGAAATCAACTGTATTAGTGAGTAATCAATTGCACTCACTTGCAAATCCACCTCAGCTCTATGAGACTGGTCCAGGGACTCTACAAACCCTCTTTTTGCTTTTCCAGCTGGTCTCCGTAGCCTATGCCACTAGAGGGTGCTAGAGAAAGTGCAAGGCTGGAGGAGCTATGGTGACTGGCTACTTTCAGTTTTGCATTCTATTCCTGTTAGCATCATTCCAGCAACCATTGTTCGCCTTGACAGCTGCAAATGGCTCCACATTACAGCCTTTCCCCTATTATGCCAGAACTAGCCCCACTGCATACCCTCAGACATACCAGCAGCAGCTGGCCAAAGCCCCCGTTCAGATTTGCACTTAGCATCACAGGAACCTTCCTCCAAGCTCCTGTGGCACCAGCAGTGAGCACTGACCCTCCTTAGAGATCTGAGTCCCAGCTCATCAGAGTCCCATCTTTGAATTCCTGAAGAAGCATCTAGAAAAACAGCCCCTCTTCAGAGGTCTGGGTCCCATTTCTGCAGTCTCTTCTTTAGGCTTCTGTGTTCTTCCTGACCCAACATCTTCCCTTTGTTTTCCCAGCCCTAAAGGTAGAAGCTGCTTCCTGCAGTTACTCTTGTCATTTCAGCATTCCCCTTTGATCTTTCAGTCTTCCAACCGCTATTTAGCCTTTTTTTTTTCCCTTTTTCTTTGAGACAGAGTCTCACTCTGTTCCCAGGCTAGAGTGCAGTGGTTCGATCTCAGCTCACTGCAACGTCCTGTTTCCCTGGTTCAAGTGATTCTCCTGCCTCAGCCTCCTAAGTAGGTGGGATTACAGGCACTCACCACTACGCCCAGATAATTCTTATATTTTTAGTAGAGACGGGGTTTCACCATGTTGGCCAGGATGGTCTCGATCTCCTAACCTCGTGATCACCCGGTTCGGCCTCCCAAAGTGCTGAGATTACAGGCATGAGCCACTGTGCCCCACCAGCACTTTTTAAAAATTAAATCTTTCTGTTACAATCACAAGTTTGGTATGGTTTCCTGATTGCATCCTTACTGATATATCGATTAAGTGCTCAACAAAAGGAAAAGAATGGCCAAACAGATTATAGTATTTCCATATGGAATACTAGGAAGCCATAAAAAAATGTCTGGCATAAGAATACTTGGGGACATGAGAAAATGTTCATGATAAATTAAATGAAAAACGAAGGGTACATTCCAAAGCAACGATGTTTTCGGGAAAAAAGAAAAAAGAAGAGTACAAAATAATATGCACTGCATCATGATCTCAATCTTTTGTAAAAGTATGTATGTGTGTACAGAATATACTAAAAAACATTAATGCTGATCTCTAAATGGCAAGAATGAGACAGTTTTTTTAATTTTTGGTCCTTTTTGCTTATTTACCTTTGTTTTCTAATTTTCTAAAATAAAGTGATATTTTGTTTTAAGAAAAAAACAGACTCAATGTGGTGACTCATGTCTGTAATCCCATTACTTTGGGAGGCTGAAACAGAGGATCTCTTGAGGTCAGGAGTTTATGAAAAAAAAAAACCTATTTGTTTAAAAAGTTAACACTGAAAGGAAGACGTATACTAGGAACAGAAATTAAATGGTAGAATGGAAGAGAAAGAAACACTGAACAATTGCTATATACGCATCACAAAAAAATTGGTGAGAAGATAGGATAAATAAGGATAAACCAAAAAGCAGATAATGCCTTCCTTAAAATTAATCATTGGTCTCCCATTATATGAGTTATTATGCTGAGACGATTAATAGATTTGTACAGATTATTGGCTCTTCTCATTCAATATCCCTTAACACACAGCCCACATTTTCAAGGTCTTTTCTACGACCATACATGGGATCTGGGATAAGCATTTTATTTCACTTACAGGTTTTACTCTACCCTGTCCCAAAGTTTCACACACTACCTTTATTTCTTCTCCATCTTGTCTAGAAAGGATTTTAAACGGCAACAACATTGTATACAATAAGGTAAAAGCAAAACAGAAAGAAACTGGGGTGAGGGGACACTAGGACTGAAGAAGACAGTAAAATTGAGATAGTACACATGGATGCCCTAAGACCCATCATGCTTACCAAATATGGACCATGAATACAACTCTGAGTGTCAGCCTCGGCAAAAGAAAGATGGCCCCGGGGGGGCGAAGAGTGTAGCCAGAAGGAAAAACTGGCAAGAACTCCCTCCGTCCGCCCGTGTAAACTCGCGCATGAGCACTGGCCTTTGGCCAAGCAAGTTCTGTGGCTCAGCGTTATGCAGCTTATGGTGCTCATCGTTTTCCCGGCTCTGAGGCCAGATCCATACTATGCTGTAAACTGAGGCGGCGATGCCCAAAAAATGGAAGCAATTATTCTAGGATATCAAAAGACTGAAGCAATGAAACCTTTTCACGGAGAGAAGGGAGACAGCACGTGTGCGCAGCACCGCCCTCTTTTGGCAAAGCACATAGGCCTGGCCCCTCCGGCGACCTGTAGCGCCGAGCAAGCGGAGAAGGTTAGGCGGAGAAGGTTAGGCGGACTGCGCATCGCTACGGAGCCAGACAGGACGTACGAGCTGGGCTTGGTGGGTATTCCCTTCTGCCAGGAATGTGACAACATGCTATATCCCAAGGAAGACAAGAACCGCATTCTGCTCTACGCGTGCCAGAACTGTGATTACCAGCAGGAGGCCGACAACAGCTGCATCTATGTCAACAAGATCACGAAGTGCACGAACTGACCCAGACTATCGCCGATGTGTCCCAGGACCCCACCTTGCCGCCAACCGAGGACCACCCGTGCCAGAAGTGTGGCCACAAGGAGGCTGTGTTCTTCCAGTCACACAGTGCCCGGCCGAGGACCCCATGCATCTGTACTACGTGTGCACGGCACCACACTGCGGCCACCGCTGGACCGAGGGACCTCACCTCTCCCCCAGTGTAATTAACACCAGATTCCATGTGGGGAAAAAAAAAAAAAAAAAAAAAAGATGGCCCCATGTTTACTACAGCACTATTCACAATAGCCAAGATTTGAAATCAACCTAAGTGTCCATCAACAGACGAATGGATAAAGAAAATACATACACACAATGGAGTACTATTCAGCCACAAAAAAGAATGAGATCTTGTAACAACATGGATAGAAGTTGAGGTCATTATATCAAGTGAAATAAGCCAGGCACAGAAAGACAAACATCACACGTTCTCACTTATTTGTAGGAGCTAAACATTAAAACAACTGAACTCATGGAGACAGAGAGTAGAATGAGGGTTATCAGAGGATGGGAAGGGTAGTGCGGGGTGGGGGGGATGGTTAATGAGTACACACGAAAAAATAGACTGAATAAGACCTAGTATTTGATAGCACAACATGGACTATAGTCAATAGTAATTTAATTGTAAATTTTAAAGTAACAAATAATATAATTGGATTGTTTGTAACTCAAATGATAAATGTTTTAGGTGATGGATATCCCATTTACCTTGACGTGATTATTACACACTGTATGCCTATATCAAAATATCTCATGTACCCCATAAATATACACAGGTATTATATCCATAAAAAATTAAAATTTCTGGCCGAGTCCAGTGGCTCACATCTGTAATCCCAGCACTTTAGGAGGCAGAAGTGGGCAGATTACAAGGTCAAGCCATGGTGAAACCCCATCTCTACTAAAAATACAAAAATTAGCTGGGCATGGTGGCGCATGCCTGTAGTCCCAGCTACTCGGGAGGCTGAGGCAGGAGGATGGCTTGAACATGGGAAGTAGAAGTTGCAGTGAGCCAAGATCAGGCAACTACACTCCAGCCTGGTGACAGAGTGATACTTGAGACTCCGTCTCAAAAAAGAAAAAAAAAAAATTTAAATTTAAAAATTTTATTTTATTTATTTATTGTTTTTTTTTGTTGTTGTTTTTGTTTTTAGATGGAGTCTCACTCTGTAACCCAGGCTTAAATACAGTGGAGCCATCTCACCTCACTGCAGCCTCAACCTTCTGGGCTCAAGTGATTCTCCTAGGTCAGCCTCCCAAGTAGCTGAGGCTACAGGTACATGCCACCAAGCCCAGCTAATTTTTGTATATTTGGTAGAGATGGGGTTTCACCGTGTTGCCCAGGCTCTTCTGTAACTCCTCACCTCAAGTGATCCACCCGCCTTGGACTCCCAAAGTGCTGGGATTACAGGCGTGAGCTACCACGCCAAGCCTAAAATTTTTTAATTTTTAAAAAAGAAAGATGGAAACTACTGTTCATAAGATCAAAAGTAAAAGTCAGCTTGGCTCAGTGGCTCATGCCTGTAATCCCAACACTTTGAGAGGCTGAGGCAGGGGGATCATGAGGTCAGGAGTTTGAGTGAGACCAAACCCGTCTCTACTAAAAATACAAACATTAGTCGCGTGTGGTGGCAGGCGCCTGTTGTCCCAGCTACTCCGGAAGCTGAGCTAGGAGAATCTCTTGAAACCGGAAGGCGGAAGTGCAGTGAGCGGAGAATGCGCCATTGCACTCCAGCCTGGGCGAAAGAGCGAAATTTCGTCTCAAGAAAAAACAACAAAAAAGTAAAAGTCATAGAACAACAACATAAGCCAAGGAGCTGAGTTGTGATTTTAGCTTCAGAATCACCCTGCTTCCAGCTATATCATGCTACCAAACATATGTGCCAAACATACTCTAAGATGACTGGCTAAGCAAACAGTTTGAATTACAGAAATTTAAAACTACTAAAAACTTTCCAGGTTTCTTCTTGTTTAGTTTCATGTAAACTTGATAAACTGAGTTTGGGCAAAAATTCTTAAAATTTTAAGAAAAAAAAATCCAATCATTTCTATCACTAGATTTTTTATTGTACTTACAAGAAATCTGTTTCTGTGCAGAAACACACATTCTCTGATGGCTGTCCTTGTAGAAAACTCTATTTTGGGAGCAATGCCCTAAAAATAAAACAGCATAAAAAAGCAAATAAAATTACTAGAAACAGTTATTTGGCCATCTCATTCTAACTTGAAATCATACAAGAACCTAACTACTTTTCTGTGTGGTTGGCATAATCCACACACATTATCTAAAATATATCTGCAATAAAAATAGCTAAACACTTACATAGTGTATATTATGTAACAGAGCCAGGCTGAAGTAATTTGTGCATATTAACTCATCTACTCCTAACACGACCCCATGAGGCAGGTTTTATAATAGTATCTCCTCAACTAAGACACAGTTTTAAGTAACTTGTCCGTCTAGTACTAAGTGTTATTAATTGAACCCAGGCATTCCAGCTCCAGTGTCCATGATGTTAGCTACTCTATTTAAAACACAGGAGCATGAAATTAAATGAGATTACCTAGGGAGAGGTGTGAATAGAGAGTCTTCCTCTTTATCTACCTGCTTTGAAAAACTTGCTTTATATCTCATATCAGATACTTATATTTATTAGATCTAATGCCAAATTCATTTTGCTTCATTGATTTGATACTTCTATTTTTTGTCCTCAGTACCATTTGTCTAAAATATTGTGTTTTATATACATACATATATATATATATATATATATATATATATATATATATATACCCTATCCTGTTTAGTTCTTATGATCCTATAAGGTAGGTACAATTATAATCACCGTATTTTGTAGATGACAAAACTGAAAAATAGCCAAAAACTAGAAACAATCCAATTGTCCTTCATGGGTGAATAGATGAACTGTGGTGATTTATGTAATGGAAGCTACTTGGCAATAACAAGGAACAAATGACTGACACACACCACTACATGGATGGATATCAACAGCATTCTTCTAAGTAAGAAAAGCCAGTCTCCAAAGGTTACAGACTGTATGATTCCATTTATGTGACATTCTCAAAAAAACAAAACTATGGTAATGGAGAAAAGACTAGTACTTAGGGTCAGGGGAAGGGTGTGCCTATAAAGGGGTAACATGAGGGGCATTTTAGGAGTGATGGGATTGTTCTATATCCCGATCATAGCAGTAGCTTTACGAATCCACACATGTGTTAAAATTTATAGAACTGTAGACTAAAAAAGCATCAATTTGTTGTATAAAAATTTTTAAAATACAATTGCTTTCCCCCAAAAAATGAGTCTTAAAGAGACATTAAAGCAACTTTCTGAAATGTACAAGGCTTACAAATGGCACCACAGGGACAGGACCAGGATCTGACTAAATTACACTGTCTCCATCTGACCCCATCAACTCACCTGTGGCCCCTCTTCATGACCTCTCTGCTCTACTCCCCCCCAGAAAACACCACTTGGCCAAGTTACCTCTTGCCCCAAGGCTCCTTCCTTCTCTTCTTTTCCATCCAAATTTTGCCCATCTCTCAATGTCTGATCTCACTCTAATTCCTCCAAGTAAGCCCATAGTAGTCTCTCCCTCCAGCCTCTAATATTTCATTTTCATTTATAAAACTTATAGTCAAGGTGCTTCCAAAAAGGGTTTACCCCAGCTAAAGCCCTGGAAGGAAAAGAAGTCGAATTGGATGCTTATTACATGTGCTAAGTGCTATTAAGGATTTCCAGAGGCATAATCTCATCTAATCCTCATATAACCTGTGTAGTAAACTACTGTATCTCCATTTTACACAGGAGAGAACAGGCTTGGAGAAGTTTAATAGTATGCCCAATGTCACTCAGGTGGGTAGAGCCAGGATCAGAAACTCTGCTGAACTGCAAAACTACCTTCTTTCCATTTCCCCATGCTACCTCTTGAGGGGCTTTGTGAATCAGCTAGTCAGCTTGTTTCCTGTGCATTCATTCATTCATGTGCACCTATCCTGTCTATATAAGTCCTTACAAGTACCACCTACATCCTTAACTTCTTTTTATTTTGCCTATAGAATGCACAGTATGCATACAAGAATTCAAAGCCTGGATGGCAATTCAAGGAAACGTTTTTGGGCATATAAACACAGGGGCCAAGATGCTACACAGAGTCAGACAATGCAAAGGGACATTTGATAAAGAATATACAATAATATGACTAGTACAGCCTCATCTCCTGTTAATGAGATGGCGCACATGAAGAAGGCAGGGAGAGTTCCAGTATCCACAGTGCTACTGGTAGAATCACAAGAGCCTCACACATGTGTCAAGTTCCAGGTCCCCCATAGCCCAGTGGCCTGAGCCCAAAAACATCATCTCTCATGCCACAGACTTGTGCAATCTTCTCATTGCCTCACAGGGAGACAGTATTAACCCTTGGATGACAGCACAATAAATAATAACAACTTATATTTATTGTACACTTAACTATCAGGTATTGTGCTAAATGCTATATATTATCTCATCTAACACTCACAATAATCCTATAAACGATGTACTATTACAGTCCCATTTTACACATGAGTAAACTAAAGGCACACAGAGATTAATTTACCCAAGTCACACAGCCATTCATGACAAAACTGGGAATGAATCCAGACAATCTGATTCCACACTTAACCACTATACATGCAGCTGCCTAACAGATTCCTGATCCAATTTGCCTAGAGAGGAGGAAGGAAGTCCCCTGCTGGTAAAGAATGCACACTCTGTAACACATTTTTGTTTATCTTATTTGACCTCCACTTCTTGCAATGACTTACTTACAATAAAGAATAATGTACTTTTTTCATACAGTGCTGCTTTTAGCATAACATTATAGTTTAGAGTTGAAATTCAGAGACTGTATCTTGTCCACTCTACTTACCCATGGAATGATGTAGATAATGGTTAGGTCAATGAAAAGATTTAACAGTAGAATTTTTCTAGAATCATTCCACCAAAAAAATAAAGAATAATCTTTTTAAAATGCTTTTTCTGCTCACCTTACAAAGTTAATGTTAACATGATAATAGATAATTGTGCAATCTTCTCACTGCCTCATAGGGAGACAGTATTATTATCTTTTACTATCTATTACCTAATAGATGAGACAGTAGTATTATCTATTAGATGACAGTAGTATTATCTAATAGATGACAGTAGTATTACCTGATAGATGAGACTAGATACCATTGCAAAAATAAAAAATAAAAAAACTGACCTCACCAGGAAATAAAAAATACTGTTGAAGTGTCAAGTGAAATAAAACAACAAAATACAGAAATACAAAGAAAAAGCCACATTCTAGTGGAGGAAATAAATCTAATTAATGAATTGATAAATTAGGAGAAAATAAAGTGAATGATTTGTCTCATGTACATGTAATTCATTCTTATTTCTTACAATACTAATGAAATCAGACAGTGGGCTGAAATAAATAAAAGAAAATGAGCATCTAATTCAAGGATATGCGAAGAAAAAAAGAAAAAAAAACGAGCATCATTCAGTGAGGAAGAGGGCAGGCTCTGAAGCCACACAGGCCAGCATGAAAATCCCTGCTCCATCTCTAACCCGTTCTGTGACCCTGAATACATTTCTGAAACTCTTTACACCAGCTTTCTTCTCCATTAAAGTGGGAAAAGAATAGCTGCCACCTCACAAGGTGGAGGAGAACTGAATAGGATAATCCATGCAATGAGCTCAACACAGTGCCTGGTATACAGGTAGCACACAGTGAACATCAGCTTTTTTTTTTTCTTTTTTGAGACAGAGTCTCACTCTGTCACCCAGCTGGAGGGCAGTGGCACAATCTCGGCTCATTGCAACCTCTGCCTCCTGGGTTCAAGCTACTCTCCTGCCTCAGCATCTGAGTAACTGGGATTACAGGCATCCGGCACTACACTCAACTAGTTTTTGTATTTTTAGTAGAGATGAGGTTTCACCATATTGGTCAGGCTGGAACATCAGCTATTCTGAAAATGATGGCTCTTTTTTGTGGTATCTCGGAGGTAATCAGCTAATGGTTGAAGCTGAAGGCCGGGCACAGTAGTTCATGCTTGTAATCCCAGCACTTTGGGAGGCCAAAGCAGGGGGATCACCTGAGGTCAGGCGTTTGAGACTAGCCTGGCCAGCATAGTAAAACTTTGTCTCTACTAAAAATACAAAAATTAGCCAGGCATGGTGGTGGGTACCTGTGATCCTAGCTACAGAGGAAGCTGAGGCAGGAGAATCGCATGAATCCTGGAGGTGGAGGTTACAGTGAGCCGAGATGGCTCCATTGCACTCCAGCCTGGACGACAGAGCAAGACTCTATCTCAAAAAAAAAAAAAAAAAAAAAAAAAAAAAAACAAAAGAAGTTGAAGCTGAATATTTCCTTTCCAGCCACTGGCTGCAAGAAACTCACTGAAGGGGATGATGAAAGCAAACTTCATACTTTTTATGAAAAGCATATGGCCACAGAAGTTACTACTGAGATGCTCTAGGTGAAGAATGGGAGGGTTATGTGATCCAAATCAGTGGTGGGAATGACAAACATGTTTTCTCTGTAAAGCAGGGTATCTTGACCCATGGCCATGTCCACCTGCTACTGTGTAAGGGGTATTCCATTATAAATGAAAGAGAATTAGAAAAAGAAAGCACAAATATGTTCAGGGTCACAATGTGGTCACTAGTCTGATCATTCTCAACTTGGTTATCATCAGAAAAGGAGAGAAGGATATTCTTGGACTGACTGACTCTATGGTGCCTTGTCACCTGGAGCCCAAAAGACCTAGCAGAAAAGGCTGCACTTTTCAATCATTCTAAAAAAGATGATAGCTGCCAATATATTGTAATAAAGGCCTTAAGCAAAGAAGGTAAGAAATCTAGAACCAAAGCACACAAGTTTCAGTGTCTTGTTACTCCACATGTCCTGTAACACAAACTCTGGCATATTGCTCTGAAGAAACAGACTACTAAGGGAAATAAGAAAAAGGCTGCAGAATACGCTAAACTTTTGGCCAAGAGAATGAAAGAGACCAAAGAAAAATGCCAGGAATAGATTGCCAACAGATGCAGGCTGCCCTCTCTGCGAGCTTTTACTTCTGAGTCCAGTCAAAAATAAAATTTTTTGAGTAACAAATAAGATCAGATCCTACCCTCCAAAAACCATTGCAATGGTAATTTATTTTATTTTGCTTTATAGAATGGTTGAGAGAAATTGAGTCCCTCTATCTTTTCACAAATTGTTTAAAATACAGTTTGATAAACTTAATTGTAAGAATACCTCTAATGCATGCAGGTATTTCCACACATTTAAAAACCCCTTTCTCTAATGACTAACTGCATTTATAAATAACTATAAATACAACCTCCTACAGGTTATTTTTCTTATTTATGACCATAAAGTTAAACAGTTAACACTCAAAAAAAAATAAGAAAGTTTGTTTCTTCTTATCTTGATACTTAGCTACATGTCAGCTCAGTGTTTGTAGATGCCTTTTATTTAACAGAGCACTAGGCAAACCAAAGTTACTACAACAAAGTATCCTCTACCTGATTCTAATCAGTTTTTATTCCCTTTCAGCTTCTAAAGAACAATATCCCAATAACTTGAAATAAAATAATTAATGGCAAGCTTCTCACATGTACCATGGGTTTAAATGATACACGAAGATATTGGAGAAACAAAGATAGTTTCAGTGAGATTCATTAAACTTTCAAAGACAATGAAGGGCTTGGGGTTATAGTTATTAGGAATTCTGACTAGGACAACCTCCGATGCACGTTTGCTATTAGAAGTATTAGAAGCTCTGTCATGTTAAGCTTCAGAGAAACAGAGGTCCTGATTGTTACATTAAATATATTCTACACAGTACTCTCAACAAAGTGGAAACAATAACACTTCATCACATTATAATGATTGCAGTTCGTGCGATAATAAGAGAAAAGATGAATATCAAAATTTTTTTAATTCTCAAAGATGTGGCCCTTTAAATGGAGATCATTCAAGTGATGTAAAAGTCAAGAAAATCGTCAGGGTTGCTGTCAGGATAGAAATTGTCAAAGACAACATCAAAATGAATATCTTGAATTTGGGCTCAGATAATGTCCCCCTAAGAGTTAAATTACCAACAGAATATCTGCTGTATCCTTTAAGATCCCGTCAGAAATATAAATGTGTGGGCCTCTGTCAATTTCCTCTCTGTTAAATGGAGACCACATCTGCCTTGGCTAACTTGAGAATTGTTGGGAGGAAAATATCTTATGTAAAAAATTGAAAGCGCAAAATAAATGAGACGTAACACAACTACTATTGCTACTCTATTTAGTCATAATAGCTATGACTAAACAAACAAATCTTTCTGCTAATCTGCAACAAAAGGAGGCTTTTATAACTATGTGACAATGTAAATACGGCAATGATTTTAGCCTGATTAGATAAAACTTCCATCTCTCAAATCAATACTGGAAATCAGTATAATTTGGTGCCTTGATTTGGGCATCTAAACACAGCTACTAAACAGAACAGCAGAGGTACTAACCAAGATAAATATCAAACCCTGTCAGGAATAAAATGTTCAGGTCCCAAGAATTTTTCTCCTAACAGAAGCCGATGGGCGAATCACTTACCGGAAAACCTACAGCCGTCTTCATGAGCACCTCCCTATACCTCTTAGGATACGAAGGTGTCAGCTTGGGCTCAGGGAAAAGAAAATCCCGTGTGTTTTCTTCATAGCAGGCCAACTCATCCCACACTAGAAAGAAAGGAAAAAAAAACATAAATGTCTATATTTACACCTCCAAGCTTAACAAAAAGTTTAGGCAGATGACAGCAGAGATAGCACTCAGGTAAAAATAGACATATTGATCCTAGCACCTGTTATTCAAGAGGAGACTAATTTCTACTACTTTTTATCTTGTGGACAACTTTTTAAAGCCTTCCCAAGTCATAACAGAGAAAAAAAAAAAAAAAGACTAAAGAGTTGTTCCACAAAACAGAACAAACAGCAAAATCTATCTTTCCATCTATTCATCCAATTTTTCCTGCAACAAATATTTACTAATAACCTTAAGCCAGGCACTGGGGATAGAAGAGGAACAAGGTGAACACAGCATTGTTCACACAAAGTTTACAATTTACACTGGGGTTCAATGTGTTCTGTGATACATGGATGCCAAGGACCCAGACGACAGCTACAACTGGGGTTCTCAGGAGGGGCACCAACCCCAGGGACATTTTGGACATTTGTGGAAATATTTCAAGGGCAGGAATCAGAGGTGTGAGGGAGTCCTGCAGTGCTCAAGACACTCATGCATATCATGCAATTTCCCCATCCCTAATGATTTTCTAATATCCTACAGACATTCTTGCAGGCTAAAAACTATTTAATTGTCTAAGCCTAGAACTTAACTAACTCTATGTTACATGTAAACACAAAGCATTTTTTACAAGATTTAGAAATACACTGAATTTTTCCAAGTATCATGTAAATCAAGGAACAGTTGTACTTTGTTTTGTTTGAATCTTTAACCAGACCTGTTTGACATTTTGAAAACCACCTCCCATCTAAATGCTTCATTATGCTTGACACTTACATATTAACATACACATTTTATGATAAACCACTCTCCTTTTATTTCTCTTTTATCTTAGTCAGAATATTACATCAATATAATCAACTTATTTGTAAAGTTGATTATATTAACTACAAATATTATTTTCAATATTGCAAAAGGGATACTACAAAATACTCATTACCAAAAGATCTTGGGTCTAATGGGATGGACATTTACTGAGTTGAAGGACAGAAAGCTACCATCTGAATCATCCTCGACCGTACAGCAGGTACCATGCAAGAGATGAGGACTGAGAGTGGTCCCTGCACAGAGGACCATCAAAAAAGCAACTGTAGCCAATGAGTCAGTTTTGCTATTTAGTTACTGCAAAGAATTTTTACTTTGAGAAGAATTCTGAAGAGGGTGGTTTTGTTTTTGGTACATCAACTGTAGAACATAATTGACCTTACATCAAATAATATGATGCATTAAATTCTTCCTCCTACTAACTCCGTTTAATATGAATGTTTGGGTTCTACTGAGGCAAGAATCAAAGTGCAAAAAGAAATTATTTTACATTTTTCATCATAAACAGCATTTCTTTCCCCTCTGTGTTCCCAGCCATGCTCCAGCCACAATTGATTGATATTCCCTCCTCAGCAATGTACTTCCACCATGCATGCTATTCCTTCCTCTCATCCTGCTGGGACCCTATTCATCTTTAAAGTTTCACTGTAAATGTATTATAGTATCTTCCCCTTACAGGTCCAAAGTGGAACTCTTGATTGTTTCCTAAACATCAGTTCTCCCTAGAGGAATGTGCACTAGTTGCTCAAGCTAAAAGTTTAGGATTCATCCTTGATTCTGCTCTTTCTCTCACACCTTACATCAATCCATCATCAAGTCCTGTTGACTCTTTCCAAAATAAATCTAAACTCTGTCCCCTTCTCTCCATCTTTACAGCTGCAATCAGGTCCAAGCCCCCACCACCTACCTCTCAACTGCACTACTGTGATGGCCTTAGTTGATGTCCCTGCCTCTATTCTCCTGCACTCAAATCCACTGTTCACACACTACAATGTTTTAAATACATCAGACTATGCCTTTCTCCTGCTTAAAACGTTCCAATGGCTTCCCATCATATTAGAACAAAATCTAAGCACCTTACCCTAGACTTCAAGATTCTATATAATCAGGCTTCTAATAACCTCTCCTAATTCATTTATTGCCACTCTTCCTTGATCACTGTTCCCTATCATCCTTTATTCTTCCTGCTGTCCTTCAAACACACCAAGCTCATCTCTCTGTAAGGCTTTTGCCTTTTCGTTCTCCTCCTTGTAAGGTTCCCTTCCCAGGTCTTTGCATGGCTGGCTCCTTCTTACTGAATAACAGGCTTGGTTTAAATGTCATCTTATCAGAAGGTGGCAACCCAACCCAAAAGAGCACTCCTTCCCAGATGCTCCCTATCATATCATGCTATTTTACTTTCAACATAATATTTACCACTAACTGATATTTTTGTCCATGTATTTATTCATGATCTGCTTCGACCAATGCTCCATGAAAGCAGTGAATTTGTCTTTTCTGTACATTATTCTACTTCTGGCAGGGCTGTCCCTAGAAAGGTGTGAACTCAGAGCAGTTCAATCAGTACAGGGCCTAGCCAAGACAATCACACCTGAAAAGGCTCCTCACTGTCAGCATCTTCAACAAGCCACTTGAAATATCACTAAAGATAGACATTTTCAAATTGAACTTCAATGATGTTCAGAGACGAGGAGTGAAGTGCAGTATCCTGGATGTTGCCCCTAAACCTGTGGAACACTGCTTGGGACATAATGGGTACCTGATAAATGCTTCTTAAATGAATGAACTTGAGGACTAAATTAAGATAACTTGCTGAAGTGCCAGCTTATGTTAGCACTCAATAAGCATTAGTTACCCTCTTTGAGACTCACTTTCCACACTATTAAAAAAGGAGAGAGGGGTAAAGAAGAGACTAAGTATTCTCTAAAAGCTTTTCTAACTCTTACCCTTCATTCATTTTTCAATAATTTATTTTCAGGGCAGGCGTGGTGGCTCATGCCTGTAATCCCAGCACTTTGGGAGGCCAAGGTGGGCAGATCACCTGAGGTCAAGAGTTCAACATGGCAAACCCCATCTCTACTAAATATACAAAAATTAGCTGGGCGTGGTGGTGGGCGCCTGTAATCCCAACTACTTGGGAGGCTGAAGCAGGAGGATCACTTGAACATGGGAGGCAGAGGTTGCTGTGAGCCAAGATGGCACCATTGCACTCCAGTCTCTTATTTTTTTGCACTCCCAAAAAAATAAATCTATAAATCTGTTTTCATTCATACATTCAAAAAATACTTCATTCATTGAGAACTTCCTATGTAGCAAGACTTATAGACACCGAATTTATACTAGTGAACAATATAAATATAATCAATGCCCTCCTGGAGCTTACAGTATGTGAGTATTAAACTATTATACAAATAAATGTGTAATTAAAAAGTATAAGTGCCACAAGTGATAAGAAGTAGCTTCTATAAGAGTAAATTACTAGGAATAAAGATATAGAGACGGTAGAGAGACAGGAGGGAAGATGGGTTTTATTTTTATTTTTATTTTTATTTTTTTGAGACAGAATCTTGCTCTTGTTGCCCAGGCTGGAGTGCAATGGCACAATCTTGGCTCACTGCAACCTCCACCTCCCAGGTCCAAGTGATTCTCTTGCCTCAGCCTCCCAAGTAGCTGAGATTACAGGCACCCACCACCATGCCTGGCTAATTTTTGTATTTTTAGTAGAGATGGAGTTTCACCATGTTGGCCAGGCTGGTCTCAAACTCCTAACCTCAGGTGATCCACCTGCCTCAGTCTCCCAAAGTGCTGGGATTACAGGCATGAGCCACCACACCCAGCCAGTGGGTGTAATTCTAACATCAATTCTTTGCTTCATTTACTAGTCTCATCCTGGCATTTTCTTCATCAGTGCTCTTTTTACAATGCTCCCTGTGATGGACATAATCCTCCCGCCTTTGCTGGCCAAAACCAGACTCTGCCTCCATCCAGACACTCTGAAGTACAACCTGCAAATGGAAAGTGATATACCAATTTCCCCAGCTATCACTAGCAACAAAATACAACTTTCTCCTGAAGCCTATAGTATACAGTTAAGAACTCAAGTTCTAGGGTCAGGCAGGGCTGGTTTCAAACCCCTGCTCTACCACTTACTATGTGATCTTGGGCAAATCATGTAAACTAACTTCAGTCTCCTCTTCAAGAAAATGTAAAAACTGTCATCATACCTGCCCTTTAGGACTACTGTGAGGATGAATGACAAAGGTATATAGAGTGCAGAGCACAGCACCTGGTATTACCTACCATTACCACAACTGCTCCCTGACACCAGCCCAGCAGTGGCCCCAGAACTGCTCTGGTCTCTGTAAATATCTCTATGTTCCTATCAGGAACAAACACCTAGATGCATGATATGATGCTCTACACAGGATGCCTTTCCTTTTCCCTCTTTCCTTTCCTATGTTTTTGGCTAGTTCTTGTCACTGCACCTAAATAACTGCTAAAATATTATGCCTGTGTTTAGCAAGAATTTAGATAAAATTAAGAGGCTGGGAAAATTGAAAGCGAGCTCATACTCTATTTTTAGAATCACAGTAATAAAAATAGACTGAAACAGGGTTAGACAAATAAATAGAAGGCTATGAAGCTTCTCAAGACAGTCTCTCTGGCATAGTCATTTTCTAGAAATCCAAATTGCTACCCAGTGTGAAAATGTCAGCACACTCAAAGGATGTTACAGCAAGAGACTAGGTTATAAATAATAAACATATTTACAGGCTGAATGAGTCTTATAGGTCAAAGGAAGTATCTGAAAGAACTCAGTGCTCTCCTTAAAGAACTAATTACATTTTGCTCAAAGCTTTAGGAAGAGGAAAAAAAAAAAAGAGCTAATTACACAGACAGTGACATCATCAATGGCATAAATGAACTTCTCCCCCAAAAAGGAAACAAATGAGACTTTAAGAGAAATAACAATTTTAATAACAACATTGGCTGGAGGCATATCTAACATTTTTAGTGCATATCGGAATTGACACCGTGCTTCCAGATACAGGATCACATTTGATTCCCTCTTTACAGATAAGGAAACTGAGGCTGGAGAGTTTGACCTGTC